TGCTTGCGTCGAGGCCCTATATTGGGCTGAATGGTATTGATTATGAGGCGATGCTCGTCGAGGCCCCATATTGGGCTTTACGTTACTGATCATGGACTTTGATCTGATTAGCACTTGGGCTTGGATATGCCCCTCCGAAGTCAGGGAATCACCTGAGAGCGAGGCACATTTAGTTGTGCTTGGTAAGGCGATAGCGTATCGAGGCACCTGTACAGTGCTGAGTGTGTGTGATGATTCTGGGCATTTTTCTAGGCACCAGGATAGTGCTAAGAGTGTGACTGAGAAGTACTTGTACATGATACCAGGTTATCACAGTGATGTTGTCGTATTGGGCTTACATTCTGGTCACACTGGCACAGAGATGCACTTATTTCCTTGTGTTAATTGATATTTATGCCTTGATTGATATATATTTGAACATGTCTACATTTTCTCGTATTTTAGATCGATATAAACATGTTACTACCTGTGATGCTTTTCTGTACATATCATTATTTTGCTATTATCTTTGTTATTGATTATTGGAAGCAAGTTGTGGATTGGCCTACCTCGTAACATACTTTCTCCGATGTTAGGCTTGATCCTTATTGAGTACATGGGATCGGTTGTACTCACACTACACCATGTACTTAGTGTGCAGATTCAGGTATTGCGGGTAGCAACGATCGTTAGGAGCTGTCGTTATATTTTTGTCAGAGATTTTAAGGTAGCTCTATTGTTTCTTGCTCGCAGGCCTTGAAGTTCTCTTCTATCTTTACTGTTACTGTTATGTATTTCGGACACTATTGTATTTTCATTCAGACCTTGCATTTCGTACTCTGTAGAGATCATGTACTTAGTGACACCAGATTTTGGGGTGGATTTCAGTTATATTTTCATTTTAGTATTTATGTTATAGCGCAAAGTTTGAGGTTATTTCTTACTATTGTTAGAGTTGATTTCCGCATTACTGTTGTTGGCTTGCCAAGCGGTGTTAAGCGCCATCACGGTCATTTGGTGGGTCTGGGTCGTAACAAAACTTCTCCGAGAATAACTACGAAAACTGAGCCCATGTGAGAGGAGGTGATCCCGCTGGCCTGCCCTGCTCGTACATCTGCCACCACCTCTTGGCAGAACCATGCATCTGAAATACTATGAGATCTACTCCATTGGACTCCACTATCCACATGTTGTGCAAAATCTCATGGCAACGGTCTAAGAAGTCCTAGGCATCCTCGGAAGGTGTACCACTAAAGTGAGGGGGAAATAAATTGGTGAACTTGTCCAACCTCTTCAACTCATCAGCTGACATCGCGCGTCTCTCTCTGGGTTGTGTAGCAATAGTGGGTCGAACACCCCAACTTGTAGAACTGTTGGGGTCTGATAACCATGAGCCATCTGCTCTGGAGTATGAGTAGCGGGAATTTGAACTCTTCCCTCGGCTGCACTAAGTAGTGTGTGCTCAAATACTCATACATGAATGTAAAATGCATATACATAACAATGATCCATTTCTGAGTGTCGTGTTCATGAAACCTTTACATAAGTCCAACATATTAATGTATGATGATAACTCTATTTTACCTTAATCCCACACCCTCTAAGTGTCCAACAACTCACCAACAAGTTCCGTGCATATGCAAAATGCATTGACTAGCATATGTAAATGATATGCATGAAGGAAACGTGTAAATGCATGAATATGCACAAAGAATCACTTGAATGGCCAAGCTTCCACCTTTATGCTTACTAACTCATCACATCAGATTCTACCTCACAATCAACCAGAAACATGTCAGTTTCTCACAACCTGTGTGTATGCCATCAAGAGAGAAACATGAGAGAGCGACCCTAGGGAGATGGATCTATATCCACATGTGGCACGGACAACTCAAGTGTCAATAATAATAACAATCGAATGGACAACTCATGTGTTTGACGGACAACTCACATGTCAATAATACTATCAACCGTATAGACAACTCATGTGCTGCATGGACAATTCACGTGCCATTAATAATATAAACCGCATGAATAATTCACATGTTTCACGGACAACTCACGTTTCAATAATAATATCAACGGCACGGACACCTTACGTGCTGCACGGACAACTCACGTACCAAATCAACATCATTACCACAAAAATTGTATGGCAGAAACCTCGTTCCATAACCTCCATCCATAACCGAGAGCCATATGCAGGAATATATACATATGAATGACAGATAAGCATATGTAATACACATGGACAGAGAATAACCATGTATGGGTGTATGCATGTGTATAAAGAATGATCCCTAGGTAGGATGTATGTTGATATGTACATATGACTACAGACCCAACAAATAATACATCGTCCAAACAATCATCAAGCCTCCAATAAACATCAAAAGGCAAATCATAGTCTTTAATGTTGGTAAGGAAACTCAAGTTGTCATATATCAATTAAAGGCATAATATAAGAATAACAAGTATATATGTGTGTTCATAATATACGTGTGATTACGTCTAAATCATCTCAATAATTTCAAGAATAGTTCATCATGCTCAAAATAAGGTATCATCAATCTAAGTATTTTCTCTAGCTTAGCTTATTGTTCTCACATAGTCATTCCATCAAGTAAAAGCATAAAACACGTAGAGCCACATAACCAAACAAGGGATAGAGTAATCTAGAATCTACTCCGAGCATGAATAACCATGGTACATGTATATACGCTCGTCACCTTGCATATACATCATCCCTGCATGTAGCAAAACAATAACATTTATTAGGAAAAATTCCCTCAAACTAAAGCTAGGCAAGACGCTTACCTCATCTGGGCTAGTCTTCAACCTCAAATCACGTTAAAACCTCGCTCTAACCATCCAATCACGTGAATCCAAGCCAAACATCATCTAAGAAAGTCAAACAATGCTATAGGAATCAATCCCAATCCATAAAGTTTCGATCTTTGAAGATTCCCAAAAAGTTAATAAAAATTAGCCCAAGCCCGCGTGCATGAAATTCGGAACAAATATCGAAATCCGATTACTATAACCTACCGAGTCCAAATATATGATTAGATTCCAAAATCGAGTCTAAATCGGTACTCGACTCCTCAAAATACCCTCTTTCAAAGTGTAGATAAAACCCCTAAATTTCATCTCAAAATTCCATATTTTGGGTATTAGTAATTCATGTAGATTCTTGAAATAATACCATAAATGAGTGAAAGTCACTTACCGCAAAGTCTTGTGTGGTAATCTCCATGAGAAATTGCCCTCTCCAAGCCTAGGGTCCAAAATATGAGAAATGAGCTCAAAATCCTGAAATACACAACTTATAAAGTCTGTCCAAGGGTACCCTCTGCGACCGCGACAGAGCCCCAGCGATCACGATGCACAAACGTGACCTACCACACTGCCCCACTCGCGAACAAGAAGCTTCAGTCGCGAATTCGATGACCAAAGAACTCCAATGCAGTGCGAACGCGATTCCTCCAACGCGAACGCAAAAGCCAAAGTCCTGCCTACCTGCACACCCTCGCAAAAGCGGACACCTCACGTGAATGCGATGAGTCAGCCTGCCCAACACTATGCGAACTCGGTCCAACAGTTGCGAACGCGAAGAACAAAGCTCCTCCAGCCTACTTCTTCTACGCGAACGTGATACATTACCTGACATCACCAATGCAAACTCAACTGAAATAGTTCGAAACCATCTATAATCACACTCGAGCCCCTTGGGACCCCGTCTAATTATACCAACAAGTCCAAATATATTATCCAAACTTATCCAAAGGCTCAAAACACCACAAATAACATCAAGCCAAGAATCGAAGATCAAATCTTTCTCTTAACTTTCAAACATTCCAACTTCGTCGAACACGTCCGACCCACACTTAGATAATCTGGATCACAATTAAACTTTTCACATAAGTTCCAATCAAGTAGATGAACCTATCCAAGGTCCCAAAACCAAAATAGGATTCCAATAACACAAGTCAACTCCCGGCTAAACTTATGAACTCTCAAATTCTTCAAATTGCCAACTTTCGACAAATAAAGCCAAACCCTCTAGGGACATCCAAATTCATATTCGAACGTGCGCCCAAGTCCAAAATTACCATACAAACCTATTGAAACCATCAAATTCCGATTCTGAGGTCGTTTACTCAAAAGTCAAACCTTGATCAACACTTCAAACTTAAAGCTTCCGAATTGAGAATGACTCTTCCAAATCAACTCTGAACCTCTCGAAAGTCAAAACCTACCATATACGCAAGTTATAATAAATCATATGAAGCTATTAAAGGTCTCAAACCCCCCCGAATGGAATGCTAAAGCTCAAAACGACCGATTGAGTTTTTAACATTTTAGTGCAAATCCAAATTCATATAGGAGTATTGAAATTACTCTATCCTTTTTAGTTATGCTCGTTAATGTGTTGGACAAACTACTACTACATCTCAATAACTAATAAGAGTATAACAATCATCAATATTCATTCGCTCCATTGGTATGCAGTTTCGTTTCAATACTTACTAATTTGTCTTTTTAGATTAACTAAGAATTCTGACACAAGTGCTCTGCATACAAACATGCAAAAGTCTAAACAAACAGAAGATTTTTAGAAAACAACCTAATATGAGTGAGACAATACAAAGAAGTTTTAATCCAACTAATTGATAACACCTATACAAATTTTTTGCTTCCATTTCTTATATTCTTTGCTTAGTCTACTTGGATTTCAAGTAGCTTGCAAGTCTTCACAGCCAACCTTGACCTAATTCTAGGTCAGTAACATTTCCTCTAACAGTTTCAATCATCATAATGTCAAACCTACAAATCGATGGATTTGTAGGTATACAAACATATGAACAAACTATCATCCTCTCATGTTTTCCTTTATTTGAATCACTTGTACTTTCTCAAATATGATCATTTCTAATCTTGTCTTTGTACAAAACAAAGTAAAACAGAATGCTAGGGACCAAAAGGTAGAATTTTTCTCAACAAGGGAAAACCCTTAGTAATGTATCATGATGCACCTTTGAGGACCTGAAATATATGATGGTAATATTAAATTCCAGAAAGAAGATGAGTGTTGAGTTATGAAGACCTGCGAACAGGAAAGGAACTACTGGGGAAGGAAAACTTCTACCTCCCACATAGCCTAAATGCTTGGGAAAAACAAAGACAATGGGGGAGGAGGGTGTTAAGAGCAAGCATTTGATAAATAACCAACATTTCCTTCCCATTCTTTTAACTCCACCTTTTGCACCTTCAGCATGTTCTGTTTGGTTACAAGTATCAACCATGTAAAAGGGGTCAAGCAGATTCCGCAACTGTACAGAGTCTCAGTCCTTGGGCTTTGTATAAGTACACTGTCCAGTTCCCTTGGGGATCTAAGGAGCAAAACAGCAAAAAATAGACGGGTGATTTCTTGTTTCTGACTAAATTAGACTGGAATTTCCAAATTCAGCTTATCCGCGAGAGCCTAACTCATCTTGGTGGCACGTTCATTGGGGTTGGTACATCAGTAACAGCAGACGGAGTATGTGCCCTTGGGGTACCTAGATCAGCTATTCCAAATTCATGGAGCAAGTTTTCCCCATCCCATTCAACTGCAGCTATTATTGAAGTTAAGGAAACTAGGGATTGAACAAACAAGATCTGCAAATGAAAGAAGCCTAACAAACAAGGATACGATCTGCCTCCCACATATTTGTGATGCTAACATGTGCATCTGATAGGAGCCAGTAATCTGCATCATTCTGCAACAAACAAGAAGCATTTATATTTTTACAATTAGCACCAAAATGAAGGAATTCTATTCTATTTTTTATGTAAAGTTATGATGTGTCAAGTATTATACATGAAAATGCAAATAAAGGGGACCCCTTTAGCAGCAATTTTACAAATAAAAACGTGCCAAGCCAAACCAGGCCATCACTACTGAAACTATAATTTCTTCTTTTAGCTGTTTCTCCTCTTTTAAGCAAGCAGTATACTAGTGCGTTTTCTACCACATGGCAACACTACATCTGTCGTGTCTAGAAAGCATAATCAAGAATACCGATTTTACCGTGTAATTGCTGAGCTTTATACAGCTTCTTATTCTGTATAGGCAGTAATCATATTGACTTTGAAACGGGAAGTGAAGAACAATGTTCATTGTTTGCCTTGTTTGGCGCTTAAGCATATCTATCTTAGACCACATCATCTTTTCAAGAAGACCAAGTTCCAGACAAGCACACTTACATCAACATCTGAAGGGACAACCTTCACCATTCCACCACCGTAATCCTGTGAAGTACCAAGATCAGAACTCAATTGATCAACATTTTGTGTTTGTACTTCATTCTCAGTAACACTGTTTGAAAGAGTTGATCTCTCCATGGCCGGATTGTCCTTTGAGCCTGAACTTGAAGCAACTGGGATGGCCATTGATGGTTCAACACTATTCATCTCCTCAAACTTCTCCTCAAATTGACTAATCAATCATGAAGTTCAAAAGGAAAATATCAAATACGAGAGTCAGATAACACTTTTCAAGTGTTAGTATTACGAAGGAAAGAGGACCAGGACATGCTTATGGCTCAAGAAGCCAGCAATACCTGACGAGGTAGACATCAATTGGACCCATTGTGCTTCTGAGTATAATTCTATATCTCCTTTGTGAATAGTCCACAGCCTGCAGAAAAAGCATGTTATTTTACCTATAAGAAATATGTAATATATTTTCTCAGATTTGCTTCCTTTCAACTTACCTCATCAGGATCTGGGACTTCCAGGGTGGTGCCATGAGGAGCTTTAACTGCTATGAGGGTCTCATTCTGCCAGGATTAAAGAGTATAAACTTATTCATAAGTTATTTGAGCAGAGGACACTAAAAATGCAATCATTCTACGACAGATATGAAGTGGTTAAAAAAGAAAACACATAAATTATAAAATGAACCTGAAAGCAGGGTAGGCTCTTTAAATCTTCTTCAGTTACAAAAAGCCATCTAATTCAGTCAGAGTTGAAACTGTTGTTAGCGAAGAGCAAATTATCAATCTAGGTTACAACTATGTATGTGAGGACAGGTACAAGGAAGTTACTTTTGGTTGTCTTCATCTTCACTCATATCCCTTAACTTTTCTTGCAATTCTCTGTAATGATCTAAACATCAGCACGATGATATAGTTCAAGGAAGAAGCATGAACTACTGACTTAGCTGACAAACAACATACCTAACTTGGTCATCCAATCTTCGCTCTTCCATCGAAAGGCTTTCAGTTTCTGCCTGCAGAAATAGCAAGAAACTCACTAGAATGTTTCACTTTCTAATAATACATTACTTCAAGTCGCGGTTCTCATAAAACTGCAGCTCTATTTAAGTGGTGAAAACTGATATAATAGTGCACATCTCCTATACATGGACCATCATAACATAGATGAGAAGGCACTATCTTAACAATCAAATAAGTTAAGGAAACATATCCAAATACCTTTAAAATGGCAGCATCATTATCCACTTCTCCAGGTCTAGAAGCATCAACACCCCTAGAGAGTAATTATGGAATTTGCACATCAGTATAGCTTCAGATGCTTAATGACAAATCATTGCAAGCAGTGTCAAAGTAGAAGATATGTGTTTATATCCAAGCAAAGCTAGCTTACTTCCATTGTATTCTGTTCTTGAGCTTCTTTTCAATAAGACCAATTCCTTCAAGCACATTTGTTATATCATATATCCTTCTTTTCTGCACCTGTAAGATCAGAAAATTACAATCAGATTTTAACAATGCATCGAGAGAACTTCTAGCTAAAAGATATATCACCTCCAAAGTGTCTGCAGCCTGGTTAAGATCAAGCATACCATCTTCAGCATGCTTGATCAAGTTGATAAATTTCTTGGTTAGAAGACCTGAACAGAAGACAGTGGCTCAATCTATGGGTTTATTCCACCATAAAGTCACGCTTCCCATAAATAAATTTACAACAAACCAATCCATGGGCAAAAAATCGTTAAATACCCAATGAACTGTCATAACGGCAATTTGCAGGTGTAAGAGGAGAAGGAGAACCTGCAAATTTGCAATCCAAAAGTTGTTAAGAAAATATTTAACCACTGCAACCATGTTAGTAACGTCACAACCTATAGATAGATCAAGAGGAAATAAAATTTGAAATACCAAGCCTCACCAACATTAGAGACAGGAGTTGGAGGTCCAGATTTATTGCTTTTTGTGGC